AATTTTCTCATCAGGAAATAAATCAATGATACAGTAGAATCATAAAAGATTCAACCGGAAACAAAAAAAAAATAAAAAATAACTTGTCTATAAACTCTCCATCAAACCAACTCTTCCATTACAATTATAACCGGAAAAAATATAAAATTTAAAAAAAAAAAAGAAAAGAGAAAACAATCAATTGTTCTCAAAATTGTAGTATAAATTGTATCGGCCTAAAGAGCGAGTCATGTTTATAATAACGTTGAATTACACTGGAAGTTTGGGGGTCTTCTTAGGCAACTTGCAGCCTCCCGTACAAATCCTTGAAACACAACAAGAGATGATTGCAAGAAGTATGATACCACCAAAAATCAACCACCATTTGGACGTTGAATTGAGGTAATCCTCAAAACTTGACGTACTGTTGTTCGTCATTGTTTGGATTGAGATGATGATGATGATGACGATGAAGAATAAACGTGTATGCAAATTTATTTGCTTCCTAGGTTTTCAGATCGATTTAACAATATAAACCCTAGAACTCCCTATTTATAACCAACCAATATGTCTTTCCAAAATAGGAAATTTAGAGCAATTCGGAGCAAAAAAAGGCGAACTAAAAAGAGGCAATTAATTAATCCGAAAGATTTCCAATTACAAAGTTAAAAATTTTAATTGGAAATATTACTGTATTCATTTTCATGATTAATTATTAGAAACACTGTTATAAAATATTTTATTTTTATCCCAAAAGTGAATATGCAGCAATAGGAGAAGAAATCATAAATTGATTCGAACCCTGATTTCTTGCGGTCTTTAAGTTTTAAGTACTATAATTAATTAAAGTTCCTGAATATTGAGTTCTGAAGGAGTTAAGGGTTTTTTTTCTACGTTTGTGGTGGGAGGAACAAGATTTTCACAAATGCGGGAGCATGCATATGCATTTACTGCAAATCCAGAAAAAAAAAAAAAATTGATGATTCTCCCAAAATAATTTCTAGTATCCAAAACAATTTTAAGAGAAAAAAAACATATTTACCCATTTTGAAAAAATAACACCACTTTTCATCATCTGTCGCTGCCCCTCCACAAACTCAGATCAGAACCCTCTCTCGCCTGCGCCAAAAACAGACGAAAAAAAAATATGAAAATTGTCTTCTTCCTGCTCTGAGTTTTTGTTAACTCATAGTGAGCTCCATAATTTTATAGTTCCCCCACCCCAAGCAAAAATAAGAATAACTCCTTGTTTTGCTCCTCTTGAAGTGTTATCAATTTTAATCCTGCTGAAATCGACAATTTGCCTCAAATAAATCAATTGTCATATATAATATTTCAAAGAATCAGTTACTATTTGAAACGTATTGGTACATAAACACTAACCAAATTTTAATATTGCAAAATCGGAGATCATCAACTTTGTTTTCTTTCCTTCAAATTGAACATGCCATCTTTTTCCTTCTCTCTGGACAAATTTTAAATTGAATGAATTTTCATTTTCAGATTTGTTAGTTGAGTAGTGGACTTTAATTTACCCTAGGTCCAAATTCTAAAGTTATCTACTGACTCCAAAAAGTGAGCACTCTTCTTTGAATTTGGAAATTCCGGCAATTCGAAGACCATTTGAATTTGTTATGATGGGCAGCAAGAGGTGAAAATTAATTGGTATGTAAATTTGAGAGATGAGAGATTGTTTTGGAAATGGGTAAATATGTCTTTTTAATTTAAATTTGTTTTGGATGCTATAAATTGTGTTAGCAGAATCATTACCCCAAAAAAAAAATTCACGACAGTGGTAAACTTGATATATATTTTGTCCTCATAATTTTTACTTTATATTTTTTTATTAAGTTAGATTCTTATTTGAAAATTGGCTGTTAGAGTTACGTACATTTTCCGTTGTATGAGACAAAAAGAATTGCAAATACTGACATACATATACATATGGGCGCATGGTATTTGAATAAAATGTGTAATCTTTATTTATTTTTATTTTTTTCACAATAAAACTTCGTATAATTTATGAAACGAGAAAAAGTTTAACATGAGCGTGGCCCAACTACACAACTAAAAGAGAGAAAACCTACTAGTTAATAGAGATGATCGTACGGGTATATATATCTCTTTCTTAAGTTTTTCAAATCATATACTTCATGTCTCAAAATTATTGTTCAATTTAAAATTTTATTTTTGATGCAATTAAAACTAAAAATAAAAATTCAAACTAAACAATAAATTGAGGATTAAGAAAGTACTAAATACATATGAGTCTATTTGGATATACTATTGATTTTATGGACGCACGGACACTTTGCCGGTCGCGCCGTCCATGCACTTTTTTAATGGATGGAAAAATTACAATAACATTAAAATTAACAAAAAATATACAAAAACAGAAAAAAGAAGATTCAGAAAAAAAAAAAAAAAGTGGGGAAAAAAGCCTGTTGAGTACTTGTTAATCTACAGACTTGTGTCTTACAAAATATTACTGTTAATGGGAGAAAAAGGAAAAGACCAAGCACATTTGCTATGCCCCGTAACCCTAATAGTGCCACATTTATAGATTTCTTTTTCCAAAAGAAATGAAAATTAAAAAGTTTAAAAGCAGAAGAATTCTTTGCCATGGGGGATCACCTCGATCGATCAACCCTTTAATTTGCTGCAACTCTCGGAGGGAAGAATTATTAACAATCCTTGTTATACTTCCTTATCAACCATACAAATCCAACAGAAAAAATAATACCAGCGACAATAATCACCACCCATCCCACGTAATCATTCATATTATTATTGATTATGATTATGCAAAAGAAGAGTATGTAGATTTTGTTGATTTCTTGCTCTCTCTCTCTTTTTTTTTCGGTGGCTATTAAACTACTAATAATACGACCTCTATGTATATATGACATGACGAAACTCCGAGGATCTGTAATTAGGAAATGATCATATGCCTTGGGATCGAATCAAAGAGTACACAAGTCTGGAAAAAAAGGATTTTATTTAATTTCCTTCTCATAATATTTGATTCGATTCCCCTAATCAAGGATACGATTAATTAGCAAAAGAATTTATGGTCATGTGTATACCATCTCCTTTTCACAATGTAAGTCCAGCTTTATTTTGGACTATATATACATGTCAAAATATAAGTCCACTTTATATCCCAATGCATATATATTTTTTTATTTTACCTAAATTATCTTTGTCTCTATTAGTTTTGAGTTAAGTAGTACTTCCTCTGTCTCAATATTATTGTCCAATTTTAATTTTAGTATAAATTGATTTAAAAGTGAAAATTCAAACTGAAAAATAATTTTGGAATGGAGTGAGTAGTGGACCTTATTAATCAAGGTTAAAGTGGAACTTTTATCATTAACTTAAAGCGGACTTTCATTGTGAGAAAAATTACAATAAACAGTATAAAAATTACATTATTAATAAATAATGTTGCGCCCATAAAAAATTAGTAATTTAAAGAGATTATTTTTTTGATTAATTAATAACTCTTTTTTATCAGTAAATTAATATTTTATTACTTTTAAGGGTGTTTTTTTTTTCAATTTTTTTGGGAAGAAAAATATAAAACGTCAATTCTACTCCCTTTATGTATTTATAATCCTATTATTTAGAGAATTATAGATAAAATTTCTCATATGTAAATTTTAAGAAAAAACAAACTTCACTTTCTTAGTCTTTCCTTGGTTTTTTTTTTTTATCTTAGATTATTATTGATTTAGGATTTTTAGGGACCTATAGTACTCCGTTCTAAGTTTATTTATTTATATTGAATAACCTATTTATAGTATTTATTAGAAGCAGTAAGCTAGAAATCGAGATCACCTATCTAAAATCTCTCTGTATCAGGCGGTTAATTTGTGGTATAAAAAATTAGAATAATTACTCTAGAACAGAAATATTATACGGAAAAAGAGAATAACTCTCTCACGTATATAACATAAAACTTTCAATTTCAATTTTTCATATTCGACTCAGTTTCACTTTTCAACATTAATTCTGTGCACTTTTTTAAGGTAGTTGCGATCTGTTTCGCATATAAATTGGGACAGTTTTGTAAGCTTGTTTGTCTTGAATGGTAGTAGTATTGTTGTGTTTATTCCGAAACGATCAACATTGTATATTTCTTTAAAAGTTACGACGTTGTCAACTTAATAAATAAATAAATCTCTTCTTTTATGAAAGTTATACTGGTCGTGTATAGAACAATATGGGGGAAATTTTCTGTTTTTTTATTTATTTATTTTTTTTAATTCTTTATATTCCCTCCATCCGACGAAAGTAGTTTCCATTATGAATTTTGAATCGTACCACCTTCAGAACAATTTATAATTTATAAGTCAAACAATTATTTTTGAAAGACAGAAAGAATAGTAACTTCGGTTACGTGAAGATTAAAAACAATAATCAAATAGTATAGTATCCTCCTAATTAATTGAAAGATAGAGGAAATCATAGTCTCTCACTCTCACTTACGGTTAGCCACCTTTAAGCTCCTCGACCAGCTGGGAATACTTTATTTTATGAGTAAAATACGTTACACTTTGGGACTAAGAATGCTATCATTTTATTTGTGAATAAAAAATTTCTACCTTAATGTTTAGTGAACGTACAGTACCAGTATTACGTTTTTAATTTATATTTACTAAAAGAACACTTTGAATCTACATCTATGTCCTTTACTTTTTCATTTGCATAGATATTCTTCTTGGGTTGGTTTTACAACCTTCTAGTTAGTACAAAATAGTGGATCCCTTTTCATTTATTTTTTCTTTTTGATCTCTGGGAGTAAATTAGAGTTAATTTAACATCAACAGTACAATACTTTCAAAATCAGCTTTACTTTGCTAAATTTATAGGCAGCATTGTATACTAAAACCTATTTAATTTCATTTCTGTAATTTTGAGTTTTTTTTTTTTCGTTTTGAGAGGTTAGTGTTACAAGTACAACTTTTAACTTGCATTGAGCAATTTTTGTAATGAAGTAATTGTCCAAAATTTATATTTTTTTTGGTACAATATACATAACAATTATTTTAGAACGGAGGAAGAACTACTAAAGTTTGTGTCAATCTAATCCCTTTCCATGTTTCTTCCAACAATCAAAGAAGCTAAAGCCCTTTTCAACCAAAAAAAAAAAAAAAAAAGAAGCTAAAGCTGAAGTGAAGTTACATAGAATGTACAAATATCGGTTTGTAATAAATGTGCGAGTACAACTCCGAGTTGCAAAGAGGTGAATTACATAGAAATCTTAATTATGAGATGTAAATACAACAAGAAGAAATGGGTAAAAACTGGATACATTCCCAGTTCACCAATCAATACCAAGTTCTTGAGATGTGAAAAGTTTGTCAATGTACGAAATGACAGGCCCACATGAATCAATGTAGTTTTGCATCTCAGCCTTTGCTGAGGTTTCTGAAGCGAAAAGACGAAGTCATTAGAAGTCGAAAGTAGTCAGAAGAAAAAATCTTCTAAAGGGCAACTCACATATGAACCTAAAACCATGTGTATCACCAAAGATTGGTTTAACAATCACACCTTTCCGAAGATCAATGGATTCTAATATACACTCAACAAAATGCACAGAAAATATTGAATAGGAAATGGTTCACAGGAGCATAAAGATCTGCTATGCCATGATAATATGGCAAAACATATGTTGCTGAGATACAAAGCCAACACAGCCTTAATCACAGGCCAGGTGCCAACTAAAGCCGCGTCTGATGAGATATATGATTATCTAATTAGCTTAGGGATGTATTGCGTTACCTATATCAATCTAGTTTCAAGTCCCAAAAAAAATGATTGGCATGTCCTTCAAACTATTGTTGGAGTTATACTAACCAGAGTCCAGTTAAACAAACTTGCAAAACATTTGGCTTGTCAAAATTAACCAGTTTCACCACCCAAGATAAAATAGAGACTAAATGGCGCTTTTTTATTTGATTCTCTGCTTAAAGCATTAAAGCAAGATATTTGAACGTATTCTGTTGCCAAAACAGATAGGTTAGGTTATGACTTCAAGTACAAACTCACCATCTTCATTGAGCTTCTTCAGTAGCTGAGCTCTTGTTGGAAGTGCATACATGCCTGCCGCCACAGCTTTCCTGATAGCCCATCCATGGTATGGAGCAAACACCTGGGCATAGGCTGTTGATGCGGGATCTTTCAAACTACTTCCCCTGCCATGGTATACGAAATGTCAGGGATTTTTAAATACTAACCAGTAAAATTGAAGAACTCAAAACCACTACTAAGTCCAAAGTAATCGAAAATTAAAATCACACTGGCAAGAAGATAAAGTACTGATTACCCATAAGAAAGTAATTCAGATTTACTATTAATTGAAACCGATATTTCTGTGAGCACAACAATGTAATGATAGATGCACCAAATTTTAATGATATTTCAAACAATTGCCGGCTAGCTACTATTGAACAGTAAAGTAATATCTGTGCTATGACATTCTATAAGGAAGCAAAACAGTGACATTCTCCTTCAGCTTTGCCTGGTATTACTAAAACCTATAGTTTTGTCTAGCAATACCTCTTCATCACTTTACTGCAAAACTGAACTTACAACCATGTAATTCACTCTTAATAAAGCCTTTTGATTGCATATATATCATTTTTTATTTCATTTTCCTTGAGGGTGGTAAACGGTGAAACTGTTCTCGTCATCAAAAAGTAGAGAGTGAGAAGGTGGAGGACATGAGTTGAAAGCTACTTTACATTCATATCACCCCTAACCTAACATATTACAAGTAAATTCCACTTTACTGCAGCATTAGGACATGAATTCGAAAGCTACTTCACATTCATATCCCCTAACCTAATAAGTTACAAATAAATTCCACTTTACTGCAGCATTTTGAGCATCCTTGTGCCCGTGGAAGAACAGATTAAAAAAAAACACAAGCAACCAGATTGAAATAAAAATAATTGCCACCCAATTCGTAACATGTTCACATTTTTTGGACCAGGGATAAACCACAAAAAAGATAACAGACAGAAACAAAATAATGTGAATGAAAGCGAGAATATTGCTATAAATAAGAGAGTTTACTTTTCAGTTTTACGAGTCTGCTGTCTGTATTTTTATATCACAGAAACACAGTATACATGGATAAAATGCTTAGAAACTCCTGCATAGTTCTTCCAAGTCCATTCAGAGTGGACAGATCTTCCATCCACATAATTGCGATTGCATCACTTGTTTGACCACTTATGACTTGTTATCTTTCTTGAAAGTTCGGTAGAAAGATACTTGGGAACTGCAGTAGGTTCAACCGTTTGCATTCTTTCAGTAAGAAAAGTTCCCCATATAAAAGAAACAAACTTCATAATGCTAAACTTAATGTTATACAACATGCAGGGTAGCCTCTAGTTCAAGTTGCAAATGAAATTGCAATCACACAAGAAGAAACAAGTTCATTCAGTTTGGTTATGAGGCAAATAACCAAAGAAAAAATGAAACCCAGGTTTATTTTCTGAAAAGAACCACTAACAAATAAATTAATCTAACAGTATCCCTTATCACTTTCAAAGTCAATGACTGCAATTCCACCAGATGCAAAACCACATTTTTTGGTCATATATAACTTCTCTAAGTTGATATCTCATCTCCTTCAGATATTTCTGACAAGGTTAAAAATAAATGGAAACAACAAAACGAGGATAAAGCCAACATTTGTTTCAATTCCCAATAACAAATATGTTGCAATCATAGTAAACAATTGATCATACGAGATGGATCATAAACCTAACAAGTGTTTGCAATGATTTCAAGCAGAATATCTTGCAACACTCGAGTCAATATTGTCCAAGTTCCTTGGCCATAGTCATTTCTATAGAATATAGAGCAAATATAGGGATGGTCAATGACACTAGAGCACTGACCAATGAGAAATAAGCATAAATGCCAACCAAATTGTAACATGCTTAAATTGTTCGGAACCAGAGATAGACAACAAAAAAGAGAATTAGAGAACCAGAATAACATGAGAACATGTTGACAGCCAAATAGTGCCAATGCACAAAAGAATTAACTTTTGGTTTTGGTGTTTTCCGTTTTTTAATTTTACAGAAACAGAGTATATCAGTTTCATATCCTACAAATTGAGATGCTTAAAGCTATTAGAAACTACAACAGCACTTCCAATTTCATTCAAACTGACCAGACACTTCCACTTGGAAAACTGCCATTCCTATACTAAGTTGGCCAATTATCACTTGCTATCTTGCTTAAAAAAATCCACTGAACTAGTAAGATAACACAACGGCAGTAGATTAATACCTCTCTCATTCTTCCCGGAAGACAGATTTCCAACCTCAACCAAATTATGAAGCTTGAAAATTTTATTATGAACTTTACGCAACATGCAAGCCCTTCTTTCTAGCTAGTCACTTGGGTAGCCAATCTTGTTGAATTCACACAAAAGGAAAAGTTCAATCAGTTTGGTTATAAGATGGTTATGAGGGACAAGTAATTCAATCAGTTTGGGTATAATATGGTTATGAAGGACAAGTAATTCAATCAGTTTGGTTATAAGATGGTTATGAGGGACAAGTAATTACAGAAGGAATCACACCCAGTTCATTAAACTGTACAGCAATTGTCAGACAGATTGTCACAAATGACGTAATCAGAAACTCCTAGAAGAGAGACCGTAGCAATTATATGAATGCAGAATCAATATTCGGACGACGAAATCTGACATTTCAATTCTTCTAAGGCAATACTGACTACTTAACATCAGGCAATATCATTGTGGCAAGAAGAATCAGTTCAATTTCGTTTTCTAACCACCAAACTTGCTGTTGAATACAAAAATAGGATATTCAACTTATGTGATCACTTTCTCTAAATTGATGATGAACAAGTGATCTTTCCACCGAGTTTGATATGTTTATTGTGCAAATCGTTTTTCTCATTTCTTTGCATAATGTCTAATGCAGATTCTTATATTCTGCTCATTTCATCACTAATCATCCTTCTCCTACTTACTTCAATTGTCTAAACATCCATCAGTTAAATTTCACAGCTTTTAAACAATTATCTCAATATAATCTCCCACAGGATTGTCTTAATGGAAGGATTTGAGAACAAAACTTCAAACAAAACAAATAAATACATAAAACAAAAAATGGAGGATGACGCAAATAATAGAACCAACGGAAATCCAAAACAAATAAACACATACAACACAGCAACATCTCTACAATGACACAATGACACAATGACAGAGTGGATCCTGTATCAAGTGCAGAAGAAAAGGCAGATATTTCTGCAGACTAAACAGTTCAAGAAACCCCACCGCAACAGTTCAGAAACGATGACATATTGACCTATACATCATATGATTTCTACCTAAACTATATAACTCACAATCATCTGCAATTGATAAATAGAGAAAGATGCCTGCATTTGAATTGCTATATGCAATTAAAAAGAGAACTGAACAGACACCAATTTAAGAACACAGACTACCCACATCAACGTATAACAACTATTTATCAAAATGCAAAGAGGGTGTCCTAAGAATCAGAGAACAGAGAAAACAGTCTGATGATTGGCTATTGGGCATGGGTAACTATCACCCAACTTTATCTAATCCAAAAAGAAAAACTGAAAACGGATGCGAACATAATGAACAGAAAAATTAAAATTTATTTGAAGTTTCTAGGCTCTTTTTAGGTCGAATTTGTTTGTCCTAGAAAAATTTCAATCAGAATTAAAAAATAATCAAAAGAAGTGGCTACGCTTTTGGTCTCGTGAATAAAATGTCTTCACTTGAATAAGAGGCCAATCACATAATAACAATGAGTGATGCTCAACTTTTTGGAAAGTCAAATTATTACTGTTATTGAGGAGGCATTTTCCCAGTACATATCACACAACAACTGCCACCATAATAATCCAGTTATGTGCAACCACTCTAACAACACTTCACTGAGAATTTCCACCATGAATAGGGATCAATTTGTCTAACTTCTTCTTGAACTAGGAATCAATTAGATATTTAAAAGAAGGAAAAAATTCTCAATGAAAGACACAGCTACGGAACTCATTTTCCAACAAGGTAAACATATTTATTTGGTCACCATTTGGTGACTGATGTATTGGATTATCTTCTCAAAAAGAGTTAGGCCATGCCTAGTCACTTAAAATGTAGTGTGACCCAATCACCATAGAGAAATACATAGATGTTCATCTAGAAATTCAGTAAAAGAACATAACAAATTAAATTACCACCGTAAGAACCTCTACTTCATAGTAAAGGTGTTATCTCGCATGGAAGTCTCTGCATTGTGTTAAAAATCCTAATGTATTTATCAAGCAAGAACGTCTATGAAGAATGTAGACATACCCTGACGCTATAATTTGTTCAAATAGAACTTTGACCATATCGAGCCCTCTCTTAACCCTTAAAAGGTTCCTTGTATGACTACCAGCCTTCCTTACGCAATCTGAATCAATGTCCCTCTTCATCATCACTTGTAAAGTAGTGACTGAATTAGATGCCTGGACCAAATCATCCACCTACCATCCATGACCAAACTTCTATTAAATATCACCAGCTTTCTGAAGAAACTCATGACACCATGCACAGATATCTCTTGCATGACCTTGGAAGAAAGAACTATACACTTCTCAGAATATACAGAGAATTCTTTCAGCATCGAAGTATCTAGATATGGAGAAACATAGACAAAGATGGAGACAAAAAAACTCTGAAATTAGAGCAGAAACGGGGTGTCTTCTTACCAAACAAACAAATAAATTCCAATGATCAGAAGTCATGCTTTTTCTCCAACAACAGCATAAAAAACCATTCTGACAAAATAGATGCATATTATGTAGCTAATGCTTATCTCTGCAAAATAGTATCGTTCACACAGGAAGCGAACGCTTTTGTTTTCTTTTCTTCTTTCCAACGAAATTATGGTCGAATGTCATTTAGAACAGCGTACAATCATGATTACAACTGAAGATACAGATGACCCATCATCAAATACAACAGGTAGACCACAAGTGCAAATTGAACACAAGGTTTGAACCAATAACCGTGTTCATTTGTAGCCTAAATCGCATTTAAAACCCACCGGTCCAGCATCAACAACTAAATCATCACAAAACAAAAATACAAATAAAAACAAGCACAAATTATTACAATTTGAATATCCCATTATCCAGTCAAATGCAACATCATTTTGCCCAAATAGTTTTGTTGGACTAAAAGAATCAAAGCACAAAACTTGATCTCATTTAGCGACCAAACTTGGGGGGAAAAAAAAAGAAGAAGAAAACAGCAACAAAAACAACAAGGAATCTTAATGGAATCGGAAAGAAAGAAATGAAAACTCCATACTTTGGCCACATAATCCATTTCTGCAAACTTGAAGGCGATGCCAAGGCAGCGAAAGAGAGGAGAGACAAGTGAGCAAGCATGAGAGAAAGGACCCACTTCGAGATGGACTTCGCCATTGTTGGTTTGGGAATTTAGAGTGTCGTAAAGGGATTTGAAGGCTACAGAAATCTTCCTCAGGGGCTTCTCCACTTCCTCCTGATTGATCGCCATTTCTACTACTACTAAAGCCTCCTCCACTCTGAAACTCTGTGTTTTCAAGACTTCTGTTTGGCTTTTTCGTTAACGATACGACCTCGTTTCCTAAATTGTAAATTTCGCATATTCGCATCACACGATTATCAGCATCTTTTTGGTTGACAAAATGCGTGAACTAGACGCACCATATTCATATTAATTAGACAGGTTTGAGAAAATTGGTGTTAAGATTGTTTAAAAGGTCCCAAGCTTTAAATTTATTTATTTATTTTTTTTAATGAGTTTGTCCCACTTTAAAACAGTGTGTCCATCTTGCCGAATTGAAATAATACATTAAAAAATTGAACTATCAAAGTAAAGTAAAGAGAAACATTTCAAGTTATCTTGAAGATTACAAAATGACATTCCGTTGTAGTTCTTGAGGATACATATAAACCGATAGTCTCGTTGTTTAAGCGTATGATTTTTTAGAAGAGCTCCAAAAAAATTTGTTACTAATGAGTAGCTAGGGATGTGAATTTTTAATTATAATCGTGATTAATAAGGTTATTGTGGTAGAATAATAATACCATTAATTAGGATGTTACGAAAAATTTTTAAAATTATTGTCCAATTTGAAATTTTACTTTTAATATAATTTACACTAAAAATAAAAATTTAAACTGGACAATAATTTTTGAATGGACAGAGCCGTATATCTCATGTCTATTACGTTAGAAAGTATCCAGTTAATTGATTTTGGCCGACCTCGATGTTCATCATCTGTGTCGCTTCTTACTGTTGTCTATTACGTCGTACACGCCGATTTTTGACCGGATTCGTAACGGTATCGGTGAAAGTTGTTGATTTCTTTCGATAACCCTTTTGAAGTTAAAAGCTATTTTGCTTGATTAGATTTATATATAGGCTATAGCAATAGCATGCACGTAAATCGATACGCTTGACTCAATCGACAACTTATTAAATATCAAAAGGCTAAAAGAAATAGCAAGAGTCACCATGCATTTTTTAACTAAAGTGGATGTACAAGTTCAAGTCCCTTGCATCACGACGACTAATTGATGTGAGGTGAGGTCCCATGCATTTTTATAAATTTATATATATGAATTACTCCCATATCCGTTACAAAATTATTGGTTCTTGTTGGGAAATTGAGCCTAACCAATTTGGTCACTACGATTTGTTTAAAACAGGTGAATGTTTTTTTTAATTGTTGAAGGAGATCGAAGGATTAATATTGCAACCCATTTCTTAATACTAGTTTTATTGGTAATAAAAATATTATTGGAGCCAGCTACATATCAGTACAAACTTACCTCTTCATGAATCAAGACTGCAGTGGGTCCATTTTCATTCTTCATGCACGATTGTAGTTTTACGTCTTAAAAATGTTTTATTTATTATTATACTAAAAATTGCGTATCTACATATATACAAAACTGAAAAACTTGTTTCAAGTCCAAGGAAGTATGATATTCTTTCTGGTTGAATAAGTCCAAAATTGCGTATCTTTTTTTACACCCCTTCTTATAGATGGTATACTACATTATCTGTTGGATACATTCAGGAGATAAACGAAGCCCAAAGCAAAAGATATTACAAAACATACTGCTCAATTAAAGAATCAGAAAGAAAGAAAAATAATTCACGGAAGTTATCGAGGCAGTTCAAGGTCCGGTCTTCTATCAAGTGCTTCTATGGTTGAATCATCTGGAAAGGCATCTGGATATGTAGCCATGATTTTCATTTTCATGCTCCTTTAAATTTAACACAAACATTTAAACAAATGAATAACTGACTTGGGATAACTCGATATGCACATTAGAAAAATAGCATCTTGATGATACAAATAATGCTACCTACAAGATATCAGATGCAATGAGACAACAGTGTCATCCATATGAAAATACTCCCTTCGTTCCTCAGTGATCGTCTAGATTGAGATTTTCACTTCTAGTACAAACTATAATAAAAATGAAAATCCAAATTGGACAATCATTTGGGGACGAAGGGATAGAAAATTTGCTAGCAAACTTAACGCACTGGCTCAGTCTTTTTTTCATATCATTTAGCATTTCCTTGCATCTCATATTTACATCAAATCAACTGACACGGCACCACCAATTAATTAAAATGAAGTTTTGAGATGAAAGTTGCCGCATTTTTACATGAAACACCAAGAAGGAATACAAACATGGCATATGGTTTATCAAGTGTGCTGCATTCCCGTATCAACCTCCATACTCAAACTTAGAGGTTAACTGTTTAGAATTTAAAAACTATCTCAAAGAAAGTTCATCATCCGTAGCACTTAGTATTGTGTATGATTTGTTCCTCAGAACAGAGGTCCTAAACTAACTGAAACTATCCGTCCTATATTTGATATTATCAAAATTATACAGCTACAAGGTGTCATAGCAATTGCAACCTCTTAAATGGGAGGAAAAGGAAACCAATCTTCTTGTGGTACTATCCTTTCCCTAAATATTTTTGCCTGGGACCAGTTACAGTCACTGGGGGCATGGATTCCATAGTCCCTAGCTTAAATTCATTTCCCAGGAGACGTCATACATGGATTACATTTAAAAAGTAGCCAGACCCCAGTTCATGGTTGTTAGTCGTAAGAAAGATCAGACAGGAGGTTGAAGCTAAGACCGCTTAGGCATTATCTATGATGGTTCATCCCATCTCCTTCCCCAGTTCTAGCCCTCCTGAAAGATACTACTTAGGTTACAAAATGTACACTTTTATCTCTGTTCAGCACCAGAATTTCAACCTTTGATACCAACATCCAATTCTTTAAATCCTTGATCGATTCATCATGCCTTACTTGAAATACATGAAAACGCCATATACACACACACATAGTTTTACAATAAATTGATCTATGATCATGGTAGATGAATAAGCGGAACATATACATGCAAGAGTTTGAAATTCTTAGAGGTGAGGAATAGAGAAACATTCAAGTAATTGTTACATACTTATTAGAATTGGCAATGGGTTTTAATTAGAATTTGTTATCATTACTAGGGCTAATGTATAATATCTTTTACTAGACCATTTAATTAGAATTCATCTCCTTATCTCCCGACAAATTAGGGTTTCTTTCTCTTCTATCCCAAATTCTGAATGTGATCTCCCCCAATTCCTCTCTTAATCTGATGTATGCATCAGTAATGACCTTGTTAGACAGAAAGGGTAACTAACCATCCCTAGCAAAGACGACTATGAAGTTGTAAGATTTCATCTTCCAGCCTAGACTCTATTTTGTGCACTTCATCATGTGCTTCCAAAAGTTTCATGCATAAAGTCTCTTTTCTCTACTTTGCACCCTCAAAACCTATTCTAACACTTTTTCCATTTTCATCATATACAATTGGCTCTATGTTGAAGCCTTGACTCGGTAAGTTTCTTCTGCCCCAAAGGAATCTATAGAGACAAACAGATTTATACATTTAATGTTATTCATTCCAATCCTTTCTTTTCCCTTTATTCAAGACAAACACAAAACAAAATTATCCTGGAGATTTCTTCTTAATTTTAATACATCCAGCGCAACATCATGTTTGTTAACTGGTCAATGAATGAACACAAGTCCCAAAAACCATCCTTCAATTGTGGGAGCAAGAGACTCAATCATGTTACTTGATTACACAAACATTCCAGACGATTTCAACAGACATGTACCACTATTGAAATTACAAACACGATAAGAAAGTACCTCAATTTCTGGAATATGTAATCAAGATCTGACTTCATCGATTTTAAAAGCCGCGTGTTCCGAGAAAAATCGGCAGAGACCTCTGTGAAGCAACTCTCAGAAAACTCATTAAAATGGGAAAGAACAGCGTTGCTATCCTGCAACCGGCCCAATCTGTATTACAGAGTAACTGGTAAGTAAGATAGCAATGACAGAAGAATACAATTATGTGGCTCATCAGAAAACTCCTTAGAGAGGAACTCCAACCATTCTATACAAAAGTAAAATGAATTTCAGAGCCAACATAACCATCTCAAAGATGACGCTATTACATACACCACACACCACATAAAAGAGGGAGGTGACCAGATAGCATTTTGATACACGCATATAAACAAGAAAAGGGATCAGCTAGACACCCTATATTCAATCACCAGACTCATAGACCATTACTTCAATACATAACTTCTTTTTTGAGGATTTGACAAATGCCGAACCTTCCTAAGTGAACTCCAACCACAGGATTCATATCCACAGAAAGAACAGAGACAAATTTGGGGACTTTTTTCAACCTAGATACCATATGAGTTCAAAGTTAATAAACCCAAAAAAAATAAAATTTCCAGATCAAAACTGTAAATCACATTAAACAAATAATCTGCATCGCTTATTCTGAAACTCAAGTGGTCTTATTGGATATTCAAGTAGTTCGCCTCTCCATAACTTACCCTACCTTTTAGTCAAATGCTCATTTGAAAAAACAAATACCGCAGAATTATTTTTCGTTCTCAAAATTGTAGCAGAATCATCACTTAATGGCAGAACACAGATAGACATAATTGCAGAAACAGTGTAGAAGAAAATGGAAAAAAAAAAAAAAAGCATCCTTCTCAATTCAATGATAAATTTCGAAAGCCCAGAAACTAAAATCATGTCTGCAAAGTGCTACAGTTGAATCACCAATACAGAAACACACCAAACGGAAGAAGTACATCGAGATGTCAGGGAAAGTACATGAGTTGTTGTAATTGCTTGAGGGAATCCAAATCCTCAGTATCAACGAGGGTTTTGAATTCCTGAGAGAGTTCTTCCGCAGCTGCTCTCATGGAAGCCTTCTCTGCTGCCTCCTCCATCGTTCCCCGCAATGGCCGCGAGACACACGCGAGCACAAACCCACTTTAAAAAAAAAAAAATTGAAGATATAATTAAGAGAAAAAGAAAATTTTACATAAGGACCTCATATCATTATAAATTCTAAAAGAGGGTAAAAAGTTTCATATATCAAATTATACCAAAAATTACTAATCACTTTCTCCGTTTTGAAAAATTAGTCCATGTTAAAAACTAACTAAATTAACTAACTTGTAAAAGAAATTTTGGTATCCTTACTAAAATCTTTTTTTATGTTATTGTCCGTATGAAAATTATTTCGTTGCATATCTTACCGATTATTAATTTGTATAGAAGATGATACCACATTAAGCCATAAGCAATGGCATGATCCTTGCATCCTTCTCCCATAATGAATCTCCTCCACTTGCGCTTTTTTTATGAGGTAAATAATTGAAAGAATGCATAAGCTTGGCTTGGATTTCACGTATTAATACATAGTAGATTGGTTTGTTTAGGGTAAGTAAACATCTGAGTGAAAAGAAGAAGAAAAAGTTTGTGGTAAAATACTAGATTGTGGAGGATAAAGAAACATACTGATCTTGTGTATGAACTGATCAAACGAAGAAGCAAACTAATCAAACAATTTCCAAAGAAAATGGCATAATGACTTTTACGCATCAAAGTTTCTAATAAAGAAGAAAAACAGTGCATTGAACGAATGTGGTGGATCGCTTTATAAGTTTTCAATGTGGTATCATCTTCTAAGTTTTCAATGTGGTGGATCGTTGCATTCTTCCTTGGATTTCAGCTCAAAAGTTTTCAATCTTGGATTCGCTTTATAAGTTTTATACTTCTCAAAATCCAGATAAAATACCTCAGAGAATCGAAGATTAGACTCAACGAGTAGAATATAATCTCTCTTGACACGGACACAGAACATAAATTATGAACTACGGAAAAGAAATAAACTCGAGCACAAACGCCTGATGCTGTTCCATGTAAACCACGCATGAAATTCCATATTTCTTGTAAGAAGTGTCCCTTTTTTCGATTAAAAGTAAATATACAAGTTAGAACTTGAAAAGTCCGGGCAAAACAAAAACTACTTTGGTTGGTTACTAATCTACAGCTAAACTAATAGACACAAAACATCTGAGATGGAAAAAGGAAAACATGACACGCCACACATTCCATACATTTTATGAAGTGTCTCGGCTGTTGAGGATTAACACAAACAAGGGAGAATTCCAAGGAATTTACTCAAAACCCAGGGATTTCTCCTGGCAAGGGAGCCAATTCATTTCTCCCAAACCTTTCCTCGTCATAGAAGCCAGCACGAACAACTCGACCCCCAAAGAAGCGACCTTCAAGATCAATAAGCGCTTTCGTAGATTGCTCTGCTCTTTCAAACTGAACAAAGATTCGAACTGCTTCCTCGTGAGGAAAATTTGGCTCTGTTATCTCAAATATTAGCACCCTTGTCACGGAACCATACTTCTGGCACTCTTCTGCTATCTCACCTTCTAGATCATCATCAACCTCACCAGGACCAACCTTTTATTCCCAATCAAATGTCAAGAATAAGGGGAAACAGAGGAACATAAAAAAGGAAACACCAAGCACAGAAAGCAATCAGAATTCAGAGATTCAAAGTGAACAAAAGCTACTAGCTCAGTGGTTCTGAATATATTCAACCAGTGATATTGTAATACAAATCCAACAACATTTGCCAACTTCACTCAATATGATGCGTAAAACGAAAACCAAAGACAGAAAGGGCACCACAAAAAGACATCTTTTCGGGATGGGGAACTCACAACCTCATCTAAAAACCATAAATCTGTCACCAAATGCATCCATAACGACAATTGCAACTAATGCGGACGAAGAAGCGCCTAGGAACTCTATCACTAGGATATTCTATACTTATGCCAAGGATCATCATGATCCGAGGAAGAAACCAAAGTGTTAGGATTTAGTTTGAGTTAATCCTTTATTAAGCAAGAATTTGGTTAATTTATTATTCTCAGAAATAATTTGAGGGAAGGGTAATTTAGTATTTTGGCTATGCTGCAGGATTTTTCTGGAGTAGAAAAGGAAATTAGGTGTGAATCCTAGTTGTCTCTGGTTTAGGTTAAGTTTTAGGCCTATTTATATGCACCTCATATGAGGAGAATTTACAGTTTATCAGATTAATAAAATTTCCAGCGAGCTTTTGCTTTCAACAGCAGTTGTGTGATGCATAGGATTCCAGCGGTGTGATGCCGCCAAAGGGCCCTAAGATTGATTCTTAGGTTTTGTTCTTCTTTCCTACCGTTTTGCTCCTATTTCCCTGCGTTTCCTACCTTGTTTCCCTTCAGATTCTTCTAGTTTTCGCTGCGTACTACTCTTTAATCAGCCTACAGCCTGATTTACTTAACCACCACATTTGTTGCTGTCTCAGCAACATTATAAGAAACAAACATATGCTGCATCTGAAAGACATGATTGTAGAGCAAAGACATAAAGCAACCAGAACAGATGCCAATGATCCAAACCAAATACAGTAAGATGATGACAAATTTCAAAGAGAAACACAAGCCCCTGCTTCCCTCTGAAGACCAGGGACGCCAAAAAGGAATAGGAGAGCAGGGAAGCATGATCCCTGCCTATCTGCTTATTTGTATAACACACAAAAAAACATAGGTGTAGGAGGAACCATCAACAACATAAGTAAGATGTCAAAAAGGTCAACGAAGCACAAATTTTAATTAGTTACTAGCACCGATCAAAACCTCTCCGAAGAAGTTGTACAGCAAACAGGTGCTGCGGGTACTTTTCTTAGTTAAAGCCGCTTACTACTCAGAAACCACATATTTGAATTGTAGGAAGGCAAGATGAGCAAATATTTCAAAGCATGAAAACTAAAATGTATTATGACAGACAGGTAATTTTCAACTTCTCAGACCATGTTAATTATTACAGAACATAAAGTAGTAACCACTAAAAACAATAACGGAACACGATCACATCAAATATAACTGCAGTTTGAGTGAAAATGATTGTAGTAGTTCTTAAACATGTAACTTATCTTTCATACACCACCTCCTCCCTCAGTCCTGCACTGCATGCATAGTCACGACTAAAATTTCCCTTCAAATAACATTAAAATCGCCACCTATTTCAGATTTAGGTCAATCTTACAAATCATACAGGTTTTACTTCCCATCAGGAAATCATAGCTCCTAAGTTTTATCGGCTATGTAATTCGAAGGTGATATCAATTCTACATCACTAATGTATAAAGGATCACTTCTTAAATCAAGTTTGTCCCTCATTAATCAACACCATCAACAGTCAAACAAAAGAAATTCAACAGCATAGAGGCAAGAACTACATAACAATGAGAAAGGCGAAGAACAAAATCCATACCATGTTCCTCAACAACAAAACCCGTGTCGGCGTGCCATTAAAGTTCACACTCTTGACTTTCTTCTCCGGCGGCTGCCCCTGCTGTTTTGGCTCAGCAGCATTGACAATGGCCCCAGCACGCCTATCCGTCTTCTTAACCATCAAAGGTGTAGTAATACCTTGTTCTTGTCTGCCCAATCCCTGCCCCTGTTTCCAACCCATTTTCGCCATCATTCTTTGAGCTGCAGTCATCTTCCCTTCAGCACCGACACCTAATCCACCACTATCCGATTTCCCAATACTAAAACCTTCTGCAGCTCCAGAACCTCCAGCCGCCGGAGGCGATGGTGACCTATTCCCTCCACCACCACTCATTGCCGCCCTACGCCGCCATGCCTCCTCTCCAGAGATGTTCAAATCCCTCTCTTTCTCCCTCTCTCTTTCCCTCCTTTCCTTCTCCTCTCTCTCCCTCTCTTTCCTCTGCCTCTCCTCCAACTCCCGTCTAATCTCCGCCTCGGCCTGCTTCCTTTTCTTCTCTCTCCTATACTCCTCATAATCATTCGGCTTGGATGGATCGTACTCCTCAATCACTGAGCTAGTGACGCCTACCAAAGCAGGTTGAAACGCCACATCCTTATTAGGGTTAGGGTTTGTATTCTCATCCGCGGAGACCGGCTTGGAGACGAATTGGGGTTGGGGTTTAGGTCTTGGCTGAGTTTTAAGGATAGTTTGAGGAGGAGGGAAGGGCTTCCGGAGGGTTGGCGGGGCTAATTTGGTGGTACTAGACCAGACATTGGCGGTGGATGTGGACGTTGATTTGTCATCGTCGCCGGCGGAAGACGGTGGCGGAAGGTCGCCGTATAACCCACCCAACATTCTTAAAGGTCGTTATAGTGTGTATTGAACAGTTGGCGAGGTACTAGTACAAGTATTTTATTGTACTCCTTATTAGTTTGCTTCGCCTTTAGATCCCACCAAAAAATTTGAGGGAAACGGAAAAGTTAATCGAGGGAGTTAAAGGTTAACCCCAAAAATGTTTTTTTTTTTTTGAAAATAATAAAAGATATAAATCCTTTTTATTATTTACCCTATTAAAGAAGAAAACAGGATGTTGATGTGGCATTTTCTTATTAAAATGTTTTGGCTCCAAATGCACCATATTGCATTAATCATTCTGCCACGTGTCATCTCCTTTTAAAAATAAAAAATATATTTACAATATTAACGAAGAGATCAGATGGTCACATTCATTTAAATTTTGAATTTGACAGTGTATGAAATTTTCCTTCTCCATTTATTTAGGACTTCCGAAAAAATTAATTTCTGGTCAATCAATTATCTTCATCAAAAGCTAAATTCATTCATAATCAGTTTTGATTATTTACATATCGATTTATTAGGTAGGACGCCCCCGAGCATTTGCCCGGGAGAAGCATCTAGTAATAAATTATAATACATACATGAAAAATTTTATAAGGAAAATAATGTGGTGTTTATTTGGGCAGCTGCCGCATGATTGACCTACGTTTGACCAGCCATTTTTCTAATGTGAATGATGTTTTAAAAAAAAATGGATTTTCTTTTAAAAAAAAAAAGAAGAAAATTTTAATTAATAGCATTGGGCAGCTTTTAAATTAATATAAAAGGGGCATAAGCCTTCTTTTATTCATAAACTAGCACTTACCCGTGAGTTGGACGGTGTGTGTTTAGATAAAATTCTATGAAGCGTTTCAAAGATTTTAAATACACATATAATATTTAGGTATTCATGTAAACAACCACTCAATAAAAATTGTATTTATTTGTGTAGAAAAAAGTATCTCTATAATGGAATTTTCATTGTTGAATAAAATAGATAGAAAGGAAAGAAATCAAATAGGTTGTGATATTATTGATAAAAGTGGAAAAAAATGCAACAAAAAATACAAGTAACGATTGCAGAGATCACATATTATGAAAAGTTTCTTTTTGAATCACATTAATCGTTCGATTGCAAAATTCACCATCTTTGTTGCAAATAAATATCTTAAGACATTTTCTTGACTTCAACCTCGGAAAAGTAAATAGAGATGGTCATGAGTAAGTTTTGAATGTTTGGACTAATTATGAGAATAACAATGTAGGAGGTCAATCATGTCCGGCCCAAAGGAAGCTGAAGTTTGGGTTTTAGTAGAGGCCCAAATGCCCCATCTTGTCTTTAAGTGGTTAAGCCCCTTTTGTGTGGTTGCTATCTACTATTATTTACGATTTTACCCCTGAGTAGCGGGGTCCACATGTATTGTCCCATTGGGAACTATAAATATCCCATGATGATTTATCACAAACTTAATTCCACACTCCGTTTCTCTCTCTTAATTGTGCTAATTTGCTGCTTCTCTCTCTAGCACTAAATTAATCTTCAGAGTGCTAATCCTTACCTTGCAAGTGCACATTCGGGTTTGACCGTTGACCCCACGCCTCCGGCATTTACCCTCGACAAACAATAAAATAAGGAAGTATTATAGTTATAATATAGAGCTCCTGTACCTAGTTTGAAATTCACGCGCCCAAAAAGAGGGTAAAAATAATAAAGATTTTGCAAATTTTCAATTTTCTAATATCTCCTAATTTTCAGCCATCATTAATCATATCCATCCAACTTCCTATTCCAATCCAAAGACGTCTCAAACTAAAAAATCTAAAAAACAAAATATTCTTTGCAGCGATGTGGCATCAAAACTTCTCGTCGGCGGTATTTTTGAAGACGAAATCTGATTGTGCATCAAATCCTGTAAGTTTGGTTGTAATATACGCTGCTGAATATAAGAATTACGGTAAGATTTGAGATTATTCATCTGTTTTGTGTTTTTTCTGGTGAACTTTAGAAAAGATTAATAGATCTAGGTGCTGTTCATCAGTTTAATAGATCTATTTTGTGTTTTGTCCGGTGGCAGAGATTTGAGATTATTCCCGTCGATTAGTTTTGTTGATCGATATGTGGTTGATTTTTTGGAAAAGATTAATAGATCTAGGTGCTCTTCATCAGTTTAATATCATTATTCATCTTTATAACATGTTAGTTCGTCGATGTTCTAGTCTTGTTCATCGCTTTGTGGTTGATTCAGAAAATATTCATAGATCTGGCATTATTCATCATCTCGGTATCATTATTCATCATCAATGTGTGGTTGTTTTAGTCATGTTTTCTTCTTCAGTGAAATGTTTATTCATCATTTATCATCGATTACTGATGTTAGTTCATCAATTTCTTGGTTTTGTTCATCGATATGTGGTTGATTTTGGAAAAAATTAATAGATCTAGACTTTGTTCATCAGTTTAATATCATTATTTATCTTTAAAACATGTTAGTTCATCGATGTTTTAGTCTTGTTCATTGATTTGTGGTTGATATCAGATTTTGACATCATTATCTATTTCTGGCGGTTATTCATCATATCGATATCATTATTCATCATCAATTTTGGGTTGTTTTAGTCATGTTTTCTTCTTCTGTGAAATGTTTATTCATCATCTATTTCTAGTTATTCATTATTTTCGCTTAGTTATTCATTCTAGTTGTGATACAAATTACAAATGATGTTGTTCATTATGTAATATGTGATTGTACACAATCGTAAATATGTGTCATTAATCCTGTAAAATAGTGTTATTCATCCTGTCAATATGTGTCATTCATCGTTTGAACATATGTTATTCATTCCGTAGATATGTGTAGTTATGTTGTTATTCATCATGTAATATGTACCGTACACGATTGTTATCAACTGGATTCGATTTATGTAATTTTAATGTTTATTCATCATTTTCAAAATGATTATTCATCTTCAATAGCATTGTTATTGATGATTAACAGAGTTTTGATTGAATGTGAAATCTCACTTATTGTAGTGTTCTTTTTGTTTGATCAACGGCAAAGAAATGCTCATCAAGATGAACTCGATCAGTGAGGAATCAAATATTTGGCAGAGTTGCTGAAATCAAACAATCAACATATAGGCGTTTAGCATCGGCGAATCATTCAAGACCGTATATGTTAAAAACAATGACTAGTATTATTAATCATGTAAAATAGTGTTATTCATCTTGTAAATATATGTCATTCATCGTTTGAACATGTGTTATTCATTCCATAGATATATGTATTCATCATGCAAATATATATCTATTCTTCATTTTATTATTGTTATTCATCTTGGATGGGATCATTATTCATCAACAACTGCTTCGTTATTCATCTTTGTAGATATCTATATTCATTTCAAAATTTTAAATTTATTTATCCATAACTTTGTCACTATAAGAACACCATTATTCATCCACAATATTATCATTATTCATTAATAAAAATACTATTATTCATCCGAACAAATATTGTTATCTATTAAAATCTTCCATAATTGACGCTTAATTCTCCAAATTTCATTGATAATCAATTCAATTTTTTTGCTCCAGTTGATTCTTCGGATTTATAAGTCTCGATGATGAATCATATTCAATAAAATCCATAGCTATAAAAAAAATTTCTCATAAAATAAAATAATATAAAAGATAACATGATAAGCAAAAAAGAAAACGGATTAAAATTAAATGTGTGAGAAAAAAATGGAATGAGAATTGGAGGATTTAATGCGCGTATAACTGAAAATTAGGAAAAAAAATCAACTTGTGTAGAACGAGAGTGTATTACACATGCCCATGAGGTACATCTTGCAAAGTATACCTAGGTGCTTGTTATTGTTATCGAAAGCATTAAGGCCCGAATAAAAACACGAAACTACATTAAGGGCCAGTTGATTATGGGCCCCAAATTGGCATACTCATCCAACATTTCCAACATATCTAATGGTTTGCAATGTCGTATATGGAAGGGAAAGTTTAAAACGCATTAATATAACAAATAATGTGAGCGAAAAAAAACTCTACTTGAATTAAAATACAAAAATTAGTTTCAACAAATAAAATATGAATAAAATGTCAGCTTAAATATAATCCAAAAATATAGTAATGTTAGTAAACAACTCCACGCAATCTTTCCAACAAATAGCATTTTTACAGAAATACAACCACTGATTGAATGAGAATATACAACGACGACAAAAGGAGCTTAACACACATATAAATGAATACCACGGATTATATCATAATAGATAAATAACGATTAAGCAACTACATTATCCAACTTATCATTCAAAATTTAAGCGGGAAACATTACTTTAACAGTAAACGATTCACCTCGATCATTACATAATTTAAGAGAATTGTCTTTTACGTACAAAAACCATTTAACAAAAATAAAAAGAAAAACCACAAACAACTATGTCTTTAGCGTCGGAGCAAAAGAAAATGAAATTAAAATCCACAAAAGATTAAATGTACAAACTACTTAATCAATGGGCAAAATACAAGTTGAAACATAATACATCTCCGTCGACCTAAGGCTCATCATCATCACATGAAAAAATTATTAACAATTAAATGAATACCAATAATTACAAAGAAATATGATCTAAGTAGGTTTAGAACGGAAATAATCCATATTCAAAGACGATAAAAGAAAATTCAGATTGAGGACTACAGAGGATGACTTACTCGATGAGAAATCCGATGGTGGCAATCAGCAACAAGGATCTCAAAACCATAGACATCAAAAACATCGAGCAAAAACGTAGTCTCGTGCCCATGAGTAAGCAACATAACGTGGCTTGAATTCAGGTGGTGAAACTCTATGAAAATTCGCCAATGGAAACCAAAAAAGCCAGCAACATCAACATCATAATGCCATCGAAATTCCTAATTGGTACCACCAAATTCAAAATATACAAAATATGTTTGAGTCAAGGTTATGGATTGCAAAAAAGCATGAGAAATCACCTGAAACAATAATAATGTACATTACACTATTAACATATAAATGATTACAAGTATTCAGCGTATATATAAGTATTACACTATTAACATATAAACGATTACAAGTATTCAGCGT